AATGAAACGTCAAAAATTAAAAACAACAATGTTACACCATTTGATATATTCGAAGTAAGTTTTTTCGTATAAAGATTTTGATTTTTCCGGCAGCAGGCCGCAATTTTTCGCCTTTTCAGCTGCTTCCTCAATTTCATTCATGTTTAAACTTTAAAACTGACTGATGTCAGTTGACATTATAATATGACAATTATAACAAAAATTCTTTTACGTAAACGTCTTTAAAAACAATAATATATTAAAAATAATAATATATTAATCGTGCATAAAGTTTTGTATGCATTGCTGGCATAACTGGTTTTTATGGTCCTACGACGCTTTTCTAGCCCTCGCGCTAACGCGCTCGGGCTCGAAATAGCGCCTCGGACCATAAAAACCTTATTATGCCCTTAATACATAAATAACTATTATTTCCACCTTCTTAGTAAATGACATTTTATAGGTTAATTTTGTTGTTTTTGTATCCAAGTAAACGATACATTATGGGAACAGACCTGTAATAAGTTTTACAGGCCTGTAGAAAAGCAATTTATGAAATGAAATGACACATTTGACACATTAATTGAAATTTTAAATTTGAAAATCGTTGTCTTAAGGTGAAAATAAAAGTTTGTACGTGTCACGCTTTGCAATTAATCTTTACTAGGCTCACTGAATTATGGGGTTCGCTCCTGCATCGCTCACCCCACAAACTCCCAGCTCGCCCGTAAAGATTCATTTACAAAGCTTGACACGTAAATAACTATTATTTCCACCATCTAAGTAAATTACATTTTATAGGTTAATTTTGTTGTTTTTGTATCCAAGTAAACGATACATTATGGGAACAGACCTGTAATATTTTACGGGCTTGTATAAAAGACCTGTAAAGTTTTACAGGCTTGTAGAAAAGCAATTTAAGAAATAAAATGTCACATTTGACACATTAATTGAAATTTTAAATTTGAAAATCTTTATCTAAAGGTGAAAATAAAAGTTTGTACGTGTCACGCTTTGCAATTAATCTTTACTAGGCTCACTGGATTATGAGGTTCGCTCCTGCGTCGCTTACCCCACAAACCAGCTCGCCCGTAAAGATTCATTTACAAAGCTTGACACGTAAATAACTATTATTTGTTGCTGTCCTGTTTGTTTTTCTTGAAAACATGTACCTAAATTTTTTGAAATCTTTATTTCTGGATTCTTGTGCCTCCTATGAAAGGACCCCGATTGGTAAAGATATATTTTCCATCACCCCATTTCCATGTACTAATATTTTATGAACTGTAACAGGCATGTAGTACCATGGATACAGTTCCTCAAACAACTTTGCTGTTTGCAGAGCAAACATTCCCAACTTATTTGGATTGATAGATCCAGCTTTGTGTAGTGATAACTTGCAGAATGGTTTGAAACCTATATATGGTTTGAAACCTATATATAAACCTATAGGTTATAGATATATCTATTAAGTTAAAATAGACCTTATCTCTGCAACTAAGGTTGGATTTTGAAAAAATCTTCTTGATGTGTTTCCAGAGGTGGACTTACCTGAGCCGATTTTAACACCGTCTATTATTAAACCCATTTTTGATCTAAATTCCTGTTGAATTCTTTTTTTTTCAGATTTCTTAATTTCCTGCAGATCTTTTGTGGCTCTCCATTTTTTAAATGGTAAATTGTAGGCAATGTGTAATATACATTCCATAAACTTAATGCGGGCATCTAAAGGAGATAATCCAAATAGAAGAGCTTCTTTATTTGTTGGCTTATGGTAAATTGTTCATTTCTGTCGGATTTGCTTTACATATAAAACATGTAGAAGCAGAAGGAGTTTTTGTTATGATTTGTGCTGTCTTTCCATCAATCATGGTAAATTTCATGTCGTGTTTAACAGATAAACTTTTTCCGGATATTGTTACTTCTGTTTTTTAGCTGGGAAATTTCGTTAGTTATTTTGTTGTTAACAAAACTTTTTCAGGGGACTCTTTTACAAATTAAAAACAGATAGGGCGGCACCATCTCGTAGATGAAGGCAAATCATTGTTCCAAATTGTTGAGTCAAAGCCAGTTCTAAAGTAGTACCATGTAGATGCTACTATCTGATGTTTCCTGATTATGACCTTTTACGTATTTTTGATTGTATTCAGATTGCCCGGAAGCACCATCACATCCCCACTTACTAACTAAGTAACTCTGTATTATCTTCTATTAATATCGATAGCTTCCAAAATTCACTTTGCGGTATGATCTACAAGACTTTGCAAATCTACACGGGAACTCTCTCAGTAATTACCATTTTATCTGCGTAGCACTCTTTTTTGGCTACAAGAACTTTATTTTGATGCTTTGACAATTGGGCATCCGTTATCAACGCCAAAGCCTGTCCCGTTGGCATATACATTTTCTTCTCAAAATTTTCGAGCTGCGAATAACATGTCTGATTCAACGGATTCTCGTAACCTTACCTTTTAGAACGTTCAGCACAATCCAAAAAATGCTTCTTTGGTCTTCCTACACCTGATGGACTTGGTTGTAATAAATCTTCATTAAATTCAATTATTATTTCGTTTTTAACCATTCTTAATTTTTAATTGATTGAAGTGATAACAACCACTTGGTCTTAAACTTATATAAAAAGTTCGGTTTAATTTTTTATGATTTAAAAATAGTTCTGTTAAATACTCTAAAGAAACGGAGAAAGTAATCATTTTGAAAAATCCAACTTTTGCTTTCAATGTACAGGGTGTCCGGAAAATAATGCAACAAAATTTGGTCACAGATTCTCGAGACAAATTTAGAGGACACGTATTTTTTAGTTTTGCCAATTGTCCCCCTTTTTCGGAGATACAGCCCCCCAAAAGTAGCCTATAAGAATGGTCTTTTTCTTATATCTCAGAACCCTGTCGTACGAGAATCACTAAATTTGGTATACAGGGGTTTTTTGATATGCGGAATCTGATAGTGTTAAGGTTTTAGGCTGGGGACCCCCTTAAGACGCTTTTTAGTAGGCCCCCTTGTCTTTGGAGCCACAAAACTTTGGTTGCGTATTTTTTATTTTTTTAAATATGAACCCGTAAGGAAGGACATTCAATTTAAAAACTTCTGTCTTTTGATTTTTTTTTTGTAAAACGTAATGTTTTTGAGAAAAATGGCAAAATGTGATTGAATGCATATCGACATTCGTATGTGTAAAATGTACCGTCATGAAAACATTAATAATTTGGGCGAATTAAAGGCAAGAATGCATACAACGTTTGAGACAATTATTCCAGATATGCTAGCTAGTGTTCACACCGAATATTATGACAGACTGGGCTTTGGTTCGAGGCAATTTTAAGGAACGTTTGAAAATAAGCTTTGAATAAATTATTTAAAGAATGTGTTCAAATAATAATTTATTATTTTTATTAATTAATTAATTTATTTATATATTTACATTTTAATTTGTTTTCAAGATAATTATTTTAGTTTTTTATTTTAGTTTTTAAAGAGAATTTTTATGTTATACGGTTTTTTATAAGAAAACACTTTTAGTTAAATGCAAAATAAAAAATGATTTTACACCTTTAATTAATAATTATAATTTCTTGTTAAAAGTGATTGGAAGCCCAGAATCATATCATTTGGCCTAGACAATATTTTATTTTTCTAAGCAAGCGATAGGTACATTTGTACGTATGTAAACAGTGATATACATATATTATTTGTAGGATCAGAAGAATCTTGTAAACAAATACCTACTAACACTTTTAAAAAACCTACAGAAAAATTACAAAAAATATTCAGACGTTTTGCGCGATTGAAAAATAGGCTTCAAATGCAGTGATATTTGTTTGCATGCTATATCGCTAAAACGCCAAATAAAAAAAATTACAAAAAACATTTTTTAAACTTTTGGCGTTTTGCGCGATCAGAAGATAATGTATGATTTTAATATTTTTTATGCTATACTTTTAAAGAAAAGCGGTATAGCGAATCAAAAATATAAATTTAAAATTTTTCACACCACCCTACTTTTTAAATTTTTTCCCAAAACCACAGAAGTTGTTTATTATTGGATCAATGAAAAAAAGAGAGCAAATTTGGTTAAATAAAGTTTGTTTAAAGTAATTTAAAATTATGGGTAAAAATTGGCGAAAACTTCTCTAGTAGTTATACTAGTAGTAATACTTCAATGAATCAAAACAAAACAAAACAAAATATTTTTTGCCTGGATACAATCCAATCAATTCTTTGTTTAAAATCCTCTAAAAAAATAATTAAAATTTTCTTTTCTACTTTATGTCATTTTGGAAGTTATCCAAAATTCAGACAAAATATGCTTATCAATTTAAGTACAATACTCATCAAAACAATTTTAACAACTAAGAACAATTAAAACATTTGTCATTTTTAATTGTTGTTAATAGTTAAAAAAAATGTAATGTTTTTATTGCTGAAATGAAAACTAGAGAATGTTTTTTATTTAAGTTAGGGTATGCTTGGTTTTAACATTTTTATTTTATATAAAAATTGTACTATAATAATATCGCTTCCTTAAGAAATTCTAAAAAGCACTTTTCAGGTAACAATATCAAAAAAAAAAATCACTGCATGTTATAAAAAGCGTGTCTGTTTGGCTAAGAGGCGTCCATATATTAGGTACGTCAGCATGCAGAGGTGGAGGGATCTTGCGAATAATGACGAGGTAGATTTTTAAAGAAAAAAATACTTATTATGTGGAAATAAGAAAAACAAAAAAACTATGATGACGTCAACATGGGAGTGATGACGAATGATGATAGGGTGGAGGGAGTTCAAAACGAGCAAAAATGTGCTGATATATATGGACGACCCCCTACTGAAAAGTGCAATCAATTTGGGAAATGTTGAAAATTAATTGAGACAAGTATTTCTTAAGAAATCTTAGTTAAACATACCTACATTATAAAGTTATAAAGACGCAGCGGCGCGCCTTGTGCTTTTTATTTAAAAAATAAAATAAAAAATGCTATCTTATATTAACAGTTGTTTTTTAGTTCCAGAAAATGTTCGAGATATCAGATACAGCATAGACTCATCCAATAATTCAATAAAGTTATCATTTAGTTTCCGACAACCTAGAAGATTTAATGGGGAATTTAAAAAATATATAACAACTTTAAAATCAAATAATAAAATGATATGCAGTATTAATATAATAAATAACAGTTTAGCACAAAATGATGAATGCAAAAAAATAAAAATACATTATTTTAATAAAAATGAAATAGAAACTCTTCTTGAACATAACAAAACATATAATATTACGATTTATGTCGAAGCTTTTAAAAATATTAGTACATCGTTTGAAATCATAACACCACAAAAATTAATACAACCAGAAGTAAATAAAAACGGAGTTGTAAGCTTTCAACTAAAAAAAAAATATTTTTCTGAACTTAAAGAACAGATTATGTACTATGCTATACTGTTACATCATGGAAATAAACCCGATACAAAAAATCTAGTTCATAAGTATTATTATAATGTTTCGTTGAGTGAAAATAATTTTGAAACTAATTTTTGGAGTGATGATAATTGGCGAAAAGAAGCAAATGGCTATCATTATATTACTACACCATTATGGAACCCTATGGAAGGTAAAAAAATATAAATATAATATGAAAACTGTTTCAAGCATTTATATTAATATTTTGTTTATTTAAATAAGCTAATTAAAAATGTAAAGTTAATTAAAACGCAAATTTCCGAACAGAGATCTGACATTATGGCATAAAAGTAAATAAGATAAATACAAGTGTTGGTAAAATTAATAAAAACGCAAATTTTTGAGCAAATATCTGACATTATGGCATGAAACTACCTATAAGCAAATATTTAGTAAATTTTAACATTTTGTGATAGATTTTGTTGACGTTTGACATTATAGGTTATGTGCATAAATTTATTCTACAGTTTCACTATTTTCGAGCTAAGTGCGATACATGGAACCACTCGTTATAATAATTATATATCTTATTATTGTATTAGGAAAATAAAGCTATTATTAAACTAATACAATAATAAATAATTTATAAGGGCTGCATTCCCTAGCAACTTCGTCGAACGGTAAAATAACGTTGATTTTGCGTTGATTTAGTGTTTAACTCCATAAATGTCAATGAAAGTTTTTAATTTAGCGTTACTTTTAAATTGGAGCAGTTAGTTTTAACGCTCAGTCGACGCAAAATATTTGCACATAGAAGTTATTGCTAAACCATCGACGATATTTTAATTTGATTGTTTTGTTTTAATCAAATTTCTCTCACACATGCATTAATATTTTTAAACTATATTTTATTAAAACCCCAAATTATTTTACTTATAATTTAATTAGAAAAAAAATAATTTGGAGTTTTAATAAAATATAGTTTGAAAATATTAATGTGTGTGTGAGAGAAAGAGAGAGAATCGTTAAACCATTTTTTCTCTGTAGGCTTGGATCTGTAGCGACGATTTCACATGCATTTCTTTACAAAAAATTCATAACTTCTACAGTTTTTGAGCCCCCCCCAAAAATAAGTAGTCAAAATTTGAGGAAAATTTAGGGCTATCATCGTGAAGATTTTTTTTTAAATTTGAGGTGGCGTTTTTTGGGGAATTTAAATTTGAAAAAAAAATTAAATTTTTTTGAGAATTTTTCAACAAATTTTTTTTATTTTTATTTTATCTTAAAGAGCATCAAAAAATATGTTTATATGATTTTTTTTCGAAATTATTTGTCTTTCGGGTTTTTAAATAATCGAAAAAATAAGAGAAGTGACATTTTTTTTTGTTTATTATGTAAAACCTACAAAAATGCATAAAAGAGGTTGAAATTTTAGATTTCTCCATTACTTTAGTTCGTCTATCGACGACCCTGAATATTTGAAGCAAATCGGAAACATGAAGTCTTACTCTTGGCCGATTTGGCGTCGACTATATTTAGAATAATAATAATGGTTCCATATATGTTTATTTCATTAGCATATATGCTACTTGAGTAACTCAATCTCGAACAAGTGTAGTTTGGAATAGTAATATTTGTTTATATTATTTTGGGAATCATTACTAAACACAAAAGCGCTTATTTTTAAAATAGGCAAACTGTCCCTTATTTAGTAATCATCAATTAAATAAAAATGTTTTCTCTGGATGGTAGCGTGAAATATTCTATGGTGAAACGGCGAACCTGAACTGAACACAAATGACGGCAAGTGTCAAAGAATTTTTTAATACGGTCGTCATAAGTTTAAAATTTGTTCACCCCTATTAGTAAACCCTTTATTAAAGGTAATTGTAATTTATAGACTATAGTCTATATATATAAAAACCCTACATTTGTTCTCATCTTGAAAGACTAAACCGCATACATTTTTATGATATACCTGCAAGTACCTACTATTAAAATTAAACCCTGCTGACAGATCTTTGTGCGGAAACATCAAACCTATTATAATTTAAACCTAATTTTTGCATTTTGATCATCTTTGTGCGGAAACATTTAACACAGTGTGCAATCTTATTAAACCTATTTTAATTTAAAGCTAACTTTTGCATTTTGTAGGTAATAAATCAGAAGTTTTTATTAAAATATGTCCAAGTCAAGAGATTGAATGTGAAGGAGATAATAACATACAAGAAAACATGTTGGAAGATAGCAATTATAGCATTTCTGTTAGAGCTTTTACGAATTCAGGTTTTAGAGATTCAGAAGAAATATTTTTTCATACAGGTGGGTATATATTATCAACAATAATATCAAGAGAGTAAAAATAAATTGGAAATATTTCCACAAATATTTCGAAAACATGTTGTTTGGCTATTGGCTTAAGACAACGAGTTTAAAAATTATTTTGGAGAATTATTGAACTCCCGAGTGGTATTCGAAAGATTATTTTTTGACGTTTATTATAGAATTTTTTTAGGTTTTGACAAATGTTAAATGGGTTTTTTACTTCACTGTTCCCACTGAAATTATGTTTTAGTTGATTAAAACATGCAGTGAATTTGATTTTTTTATTGGTTTTTACTAAAAACTTTTTAGAAACGTCAAAAAATAATCTCATAAATAATTTAATTAATTAATTAATTAATTTAATATTTTAATTATTATTATAATGTAATCAATCCACGTATGATAACCCAAACTAGAGAATCACCCTTTTAGTCCAAAGTAACTGTTTTTTTACAACGACAATTAACGTGTTTATTTATTTTTAATTTTTTTTCCACAAAGTTGGTCCTATACGCTAAAGAAGTATCGCTAGTAGCGCCTCCACTCGGCTGTTATCATCGTAACAAAAGTAGAACTTTTAATAATCAGCTGTCAAACGCTTAGGTAACAAACAAGTGTTTTTGAGCCGGAAAATGTTAAAAAATATCGAAAAAAAACCGTTGATCGATTTGTTGTGCTGTTGGGTGTATTTCGAGACGGAACAGTGGTAATCTGAATGAAGAAATAAATTGCATACAGTCTCTGTAAATATAAATTGTACCTATTAGATACAATAAATACACATTTTAGTAGTGATTAACGTGATAAGTGTAAACATTTCAATTCAGTAAAAATCGTCAAAAAAATAAGTCGTCTAAATTTAAACAGCATTTAGCACTATTAAAAGCGTTGATTAAGAATTCTTTAAAGTCTCCACTCAACGGTAAAATAACATTATATTATGTATTATATATAATTTGATGTTGCCATGAATTCGTAGGTAGGTATATTTTGTTGTTTAAAATGCAGTTGTCGGCGATTTTTAGAGAACTCAAATATAAAAATGATAACCCTAAGGTTATGTTTGTGCAAAAATTATTTTTTACTAATTTCTTAAAAATGTCCAAACTTAAATATAAATTATATTAGGTAAAGTTATCATTAGTTCTGCACCAACAAATGTACTTACCGAATTGAATCCTTTGGCAAAATATGAAAATGCAACGATTTGGTTCTTGAATTTTATTTACAATTAAAAACATAATAATTCACTATGATCCCTTTGATAAAATACACTCACTAACGTAAATATATAAGCATTTAAGCGTTGAGTTTCTTAATCAATGATATAAGGAATAATCAATCGAAATCGAGTACTAAAAATGCATTCGAAGTCCACCAGATGGCGCGCGCGTTGCGAAAACCCGATACTTCTTTAGCGTATCTTATTCAATTTTAAAATTTGTGGACAGTCATAAAAATCTGTCTTGTAAAAAAAATTGAAGATAATTTATTATATAATATTTTGGCATCAAAATAGTAAAAATTGACAGGTGTGGACGGGACAAGATAATTTTTTTGTCTCGTCCACACCTTTCAATTATTAAAATCATCTCTATTAGTATGAGTATGGGAACGTATGGCAGGCCCAAAGACATTATCCTCCACTAATCTCCCAGGGTTATTTTACCCCCTTTCCGTTCTCCTGCGTATCCCGCCAAATCACAGCATTACCTGTGTTTGTTGGATCCGATACGCCGGCTGGTAGATCCACCCTAGGAAGTCGTGGATGATAGTGTCTACGGTTAAGGCCGCTCCACGGATTTTTGTCAGCCGGGTCAGGCCGTACGTCCAATTTAGGAAGGTTTTTTGGAGAACATTGAACTGACCCAAAACTAAGTACAATCCGGAATCCTCCTCAACCAGGGCTTTAGTAATAACCCCATTCAGTTGGGATTCCTAAATGGGGGTAGGTGGATTAGTATGCTGCTAGATCCTATCCTTGATGGTGTATTTCCTGTTCGTCGCTGTCCGAGTCGGATTTCGGTTCCTGGTAGCCGCTTTAGAATTGTTTGCCCCTCTGTGCGACACTTGACACTTGTTTGGCCGGCGACACTTCAGAACCGAAGTGTTGCCGGCCGCACCCAGCCGTAATTAGTGCCGTCTGACTACGTGGAAATTCAGCCCCTCATGCCGAGTACTGACTTCATAAGCAGCTGTTTGTCCCGCCTTTGTTTAACCTACTGAAATTACCGATACCTTCGAATTTTTACCCCACTGTGCGTGATCCCCATTCATTTGGGGTTATGATGGGGACTTGATTGGCTAATATGCTGCCAGGGTCCATATTTGCGCCTCACTGTGCGGTGCGGCTGTTTATTTACGCATGGAACGATTATTTACCTAATTTATGGTCCCCTTAACGTCTTAGTAATCTAAATATGTTTATTTATTTAAGATGGTTTCTTTTGCCTATAGGCAAAAGAAACCATCAATCAAGTTACGATAAACATTATAATGTTTATCGTAACTTGATTGATTAATGGCTTCTTATGTGTGCCCTTGTGTTTATATTTTTTTTTGGCTATGTTTCCTTTTGCGACTAATTAATTTTACCTGACGGATTATTTGTTAGTTAAAGGTTGCGGATTTCGTATTAACTACACCTTTTCCAGTTGATATTCAGAAAGTAGCAATTGATATTCAGAACGCAGCAATTGATTTTCAGATATTGCAAATGAAATTCAGAAAATAGCAAATGTAATTCAGATATTTCAAATGATATTCAGAAAGTAGCTGATGTAATTCAGATATTGCAAATGATATTCAGACAGTAGCAATTGATATTCAGAAATTACAAATAGTATTCAGACAGTAACAATTGTAAATCAGAATATGTCCATTGAAATTCAGAAATTAACAAATGATAACATTTTCATACTTCATTTTACTTATTTTCTAAAATCTCATTTAATGTATTTTTTTGTATATTGCTTTGTTTCCATGGAATTAACAATAATAAACAAATTTATCACCATTTAAGTAGGTATATTTGTCATAATTGTCAACTTCTTGCAAGTAAGGACTGAATTTTGTTCATTTGTACTTTATATAAATTTCATTTACTTATTAGTTAATAAAGATAACATGTACTTTCATTCATCATCGATTTACTGTATGTAACCCACTGTTCCTGAAACAATTGCTGCGGCTAAATTACATTTGATTTAATCTGAAAAACAATTGCTACTTTCTGAATTACAATTGCAAGTTTCTGAAAATCAATTGTGTTATCTGAATTATAATTGCTACTTTCTTAAAATCAATTGTGTTATCTGAATTACATATGCTACTCTCTTAAAATCAATTGGAATAGCTGAATTACAATTCCTACTATCTGAATATCAACTGGAATAACTGAATTACAATTCCTACTTTCTGAATATCAACTGGAAAAGGTGTAGTATTAATATTATTGGGTATTATATGGTCATGCAATTTTGGTAATTACTTATCTAATTTATGCAGACTTGGACTTCGGGATAATTGCCAGGCAAGTGTGATGAAATTGATCCTTAACGCATACCGCCCGCACGTGTGGTAGTCCAGGAAATTATTCATTGGAACTGATCGTCTCTCTCACACCTTTTATCCAGGTAAAACACTTGAGGACCTAATCCAGGGGGAGGTACCACACACAATTTGCACTCTTTTGCACTTTGGACAGTTATCACGTGTAGAATCGATATTGATTTTTTTTTATTGAACTTAAGCGGTGATGGAACTATGAAAGAAAGTACGCGCCTATCGAGACGCTTGACGCGACGCGACCGCTCAGCTCAAGACTCACTGCGTCACTGCGTCACAATTATTAAAATTATCTCTACTTTTATAAATTATTTCTTGCGTTTTTTTAATTTAAGGTATAGCATAATAAAATAAGAATATTTTTGACAATTTTGATGCCAAAATATTATATAATAAGTTATCTACACTTTTTTATAAAGTTTAGTAATTAAGGCGTTTCACGCGCTTGAAATGGCCGATTACGAGAATGCAATTTAAGTTTAAGCGAGCTAGTACCTCGAAAGGAAAAAATCGACACATTTACCAAGATTTTCATAAAATTGGGTCCCACACCTCAGAAAATTAAATAATGCGCTGGTCTGCAAAGCACGCATCACACAGCAAAAGTAATCATATATGATTATGATTATAATCTACACCTTTTACAGTTGATATTCAAAAAGTAGGAATTGTAATTCAGTTATTCCAGTTGATATTCAGATAGTAAGAATTGTAATTCAGCTATTCCAATTGATTTTAAGAGAGTAGCATATGTAATTCAGATAACACAATTGATTTTAAGAAAATAGCAATTGTAATTCAGATAATTCAATTGATTTTCAGAAACTTGCAATTGTAATTCAGAAAGTAGCAAATGTTTTTCAGATTAAATCAAATGTAATTCAGCCGCAGCAATTGTTTAGGAACAGTGGGTTGCATACAGTAAATCGATGATGAATGAAAGTACACGTTATCTTTATTAACTAAATAAATGAAATTTATATAAAGTACAAATGAAGAAAATTCGGTCCTTACTTGCAATAAGTTGACAATTATGACAAATATACCTACTTAAATGGTAATAAATTTGTTTACTATTATCAATTCCATGGAAACAAAGCAATATACATATATGTATACTAGGATGTTTCTTATTTAGGGGTCGGAAAAAATTAAACAGAGGCGCCCCCCAAATCGGTTCCAAATCATAAAAAAAAAATCCTGCAAAATTTTAGGTCAATCGGTCAAAGGGAACACGTGCCCCACAGGGGTTTTTTAATAAATAATTGAGAAAATTCGGAAGGCTGATATACCGAAACGGTCCATCGTAGGAAAAAAAAGTGTATATAAATTTTATGTGTTTTTTTTGGATAAACAACTTTCGTAATAACAGTCCTGCGTTGTATACATTGTATACAAAGAAATACATTAAATTGAGATTTTAGAAAATAAGTAAAATGAAGTATGAAAATGTTATCATTTGTTAATTTCTGAATTTCAATTGACATATTCTGAATTACAATTGTTACTGTCTGAATACTATTTGTAATTTCTGAATATCAATTGCTACTGTCTGAATATCATTTGCAATATCTGAATTACATCAGCTACTTTCTGAATATCATTTGAAATATCTGAATAACATTTGCTATTTTCTGAATTTCATTTGCAATATCTGAAAATCAATTGCTGCTTTCTGAATATCAATTGCTACTTTCTGAATATCAACTGGAAAAGGTGTAGTTTGGGCTACCAAACGTGAATTGATATTACATTACGTCATATTTTAATTTTTAGCATGTGTTTCCGGAATTGGTTTTGGAGCCATTCTAGGCATTGTTTTTGGATTATTATTCATTATAATTATTGCCATTTTCGTATTCTTTTATTTCTTTAAAGACGAGCGCCCAATATTTAAGTAAGAATAAATTAATACATATACGTATATTATTTTAATTTTAAAGTTTTAATAGGAAATATATACCAGTACTTGAAGCATCAGATGTGATTTACCGGTTTCCGCCTCACCAGTTCCTGAGTTATTGGAAAAAAATACAAGCCACAGAGTGTGGTTTAAAATTACAATTCAGTAAATTAACAAAATCTGCCCAAGCTTTTACGTATTCCACGCAGGTTGCACAAGTACCTGAAAATAAAATAAAGAATCGATATGTCAATATTTTACCATGTAAGTTAATTAATAATTACCTAAAATAACACAGGTCTACAAAAATCAACCAACATTCTATATTATATTTCAAAATCCTTTTTATTATTTTTTTCTCCTGAAAATTGATCATTTATGATTAAAAACCCTTTTTGATTTTTTTCTCCTTTTCCAGAGTTCGTTACTTTGATCACTTTTTAGGCCGGAAAGGAATATAATTCGGGTTTTCGGGTGGCACTCGATAGCATCGATGGAATTCAAGAATTGTCAACAATACATTTAAAGCATACAAAGTGCACTTTATTTTTTAAATAAATATATTTGTACATACTTATAATAGTCCGGGAGGCAGTGAAGATTTTCGGTACTTATTTTCCCAGTTTGTGAATGTCATTAAGTTTGTTCAAATGGTGACACAAAACGACAATTTGGGTGTCTGGCTGAAATTTTCGGATGGGTTCACTAGATGAGCCAAAAAGTCAAGTCCACTTATTTTCCCAGTCATAAATATTTCACATTAATTAAAGTGAGTAATTTTATTAATGGAAATAACAGTCTGGCACATCCCAAGTGAAGGAAAGTCAGTCTGGCTGAAAATTTGCGGAAGCAAAAATTTGACCGGTTTTTGAAATACGTAGCCCTTATTTTCCCATGCTTAAAATTTAACCCATTATTTGGTACTGTCATAAACTATAATCAAAATTAAGTCTGGCTGATTTATGAAATTGGCAAATTGTTCTGGCGGCATCTTGAAAATCGTAAGAATTACAAAAAATTTGCTCTTATTTTCCCGGATTTGAAAATTTGTCACATGATAAATAATACTATAATTTCGTAGAAAATACACGTCTGGCTGTTATTTACAATCACGAAAGCCCCGCCAGACTGCGAAAATAAGGGCAATGATTTTGATAATTTTTCCATCTGCCAGACATATTACCCATACTCACAGTTTAGCCAGACTATTTTTTTTTTCATAAGTTCAGTATATCTCTCACTAATGGAATTATTTTTATCACTGGAAAAAAAAGTGCAATATATTTGTACTTTATAACGCAATTTCCGCCTTAACCCATCCGAAAACCCCCGCCTAAATATATATAAATTTTGCTCAGAATAACAAACCCAATAATTGTATCGGTGTTTGCCGACTGGGAAAATAAGTACCGAAAATCTTCACTGCCTCCCGGACTATAAGTAGTTTTTTCACAAAAGAGAGTAAAGCAGATGTTTTACTCGACAAAGTTTGAATTGCACAGGTAACCGCGTACGTTATTTATTTTTCGCGTTGCAAGTAAAAACCAAAAACTACTTGGTTTAGTACTTGATTTTTATTTATTGTATGCTTATATCGTTACGTTAGTTTTTAAATTTTATCATGGTGAATTGAAAACTAACTCGACGTTGCATTGTCATGTTTTCCCAAATAATTCAATTCGGTACGTATACCTATTTGGTGGTGCAGAATTAACTAATGATAACTTTAAATAATATGATTTATATTTTAGTTTAGAATTTTTTATTAAATCTTACACAAAATAGTAGTTCTACAAACATTAACTTAAAATCAAATATTTTTATATTTGAGTCCTCTAAAAAACGCAGACAAATGCATTTAATCGACAAATTACAAAATATCTGCGAATTTATTAATATATACAATACAAAATATAATATCCGGTTTTTGTTATTTTACCGTTGAGTGGAGACTTTCTCAATCAACGCTTTAATAATTCATAATGATATTTGCATTTTCACGACTAACTTGTATTATGAATTTTACTAAATTTAAATGTTCACAATTTTCACGTAAATTATTCATAAAATGTATATTTATTGTGTCTATTAGGAACAATTGATATTTACATGGACTGTAGGCAATTTATTTCTTCATTCGAAATTCCACTGTTAATTGAGAAACTCTCAAAAAACACCTAACTACATAACAAATCGTTCCACAGATTTTTTTGTCGATATTTTTTAACATTTTCCGGAATTTATTTTCAAAAATATACGCGTTTCCTTATTAAAAGATGTATTTTAGTTACGATGATAACGGCCAACTGGTGGCGGCATCAGCGATACTTCTTTAGCGTATAACAGCGTTATGAATAGGACAACCATTTAACTGAAACTTTAAATTAAGGAGATTCTGTAATGTAAAATTACATAAACCTAATGCGTTTCAGAACTAGTTTCCAATAAAATTTAAAAACCCATGTGGTGAAACAATTTTCTCAGGGTATTTTTCGTAAATAAAATCCAAGATCGAATTGGACAGAGATTTGAATGATGTCAAAACGATGGTTAAGTACTGTTATTATTATGTAGATATAAAAACTAGTATGTTTTTTAAGTTTCACGTAATTTATTTATTTTTGACAATTGTTTCGTCACACAGTGACTTCTTTAAAAAACATACTAGTTTTTATATCTACATAATAATAATAATATGGAGTTTCATCAAGTAAAGGTCGAAACAATCAAATAGTTAAGTACAGTTATAGACAAAACAGCAAAAGTTAGTACAGTTATAGACAAAACAGCAAAAGTTAAATACGGCAAAACATGTTGATAATAACTCAACTAGACATTGGTGCTGTAAAATAGGTATTCGTAAACACTTATTAAATTTCTTTCAATCACAAATTCTTCCAGCACCGAACTATACACACCGCAGGTTATACTTTTTTATCCGAATTCGATAAGGTGCAAGCGACAAAAATACAATGTATTCATTAGGGTGTTTCCAAAAAAACTTAAATTAATTTTTTTTAATGGTGTTGAAAAATTAATAATAGGTACATTAAAAAATAAAAATTTTGGCGCATATTTGAGCCCTTAATATTAATATTAAGGTTTGCCTCAATTCATTTGTTGTTTTTTCATTTCAATAACACGGGAATTTTTATTTTTTAAATTTTGAATTCTTATAACTTTGGAATGGTTTGTTTTCGCAACACCCAAGCGAGAGGAGTTATAGACATTTTCACGCTCTACAAAAAACATCTGAAGGTCAAAGTTCTTCAGGTCAACCGTTTCAAAGATATCAGCGATCAAAAATAACACTAATAAAAAATTTCAAATATTTTCAAATAAAATACAAAAAAATATCATATGCCATATTTATATTATTTTTTATGTAAAATCACTTTAATTCTGTTAACCTGAGACTGTAAACTTTTTTTTTATGTATATATGACATATTATATGTATATGTATATTAGGGTGTCCCTTATTTTTATTTTTTTTACGCATACCCTCTAATTATATTTATTACGTGTTTATATACTCCCAGTAAAAATTTCATCTAGCTCATTGAATAACAGCAGTGCTGTTATGTTAATGTTGACCAGAGATAATTGATAAATTATCTGCTGGTTGTTTACTACTGTAGAACGCAGCCTCACGTTCTAAGGGTTTGTGGCTTGGGGCAATAGTAAAGTCGAGTTTGTGAGTTAAAATGTAACTGGTTTTATTTATTAAATTATCACTATTTATATACATAATTTTGCTAACCTAAGTAATATTAACTTATATTTGTGTGACCACATTTGGTAACAATACAGGTACAAAAATGATTACTTTAAGATTAATTGAGGTCGAAATTTATAATTTTGCTGATTGACAAATAGTTGATTTTAAAACAAATAATTTGGAACACTTAAATTTAATTTAAATTATTAAAATTTTATATAATTTTATGTTTAAATCGCCAGATTTAACATTCTGGCGACTCGGCAAGAGAGTGGGAAACTGTCGCATATATTGGTTGGAGATTTATCATCTCTATCTGTGATCGAGGAGCTGCCTCAGGTGGTGTGGTTCCTTTCTTCATTGGCTGTATTTCTTCTTCCGTCATTGATGTTTTCCGAGTAGATTTCCGTTTATCCCAAGTCCTGATCCAGTATTGCCAAGCCTTGTAGGTGGCAATCATTGTTGTGCCAATGATAATGGCTGTTATGCAACTGGTTGCGATGGCGTGTTTCTTTATCTCTTTCCATGTAGTGGATTTTAGGTCTTCTTGGATGTTTCTTTCGCCATTGAAGAGACTTTTCAAATGGTCTGATCTTTCTACGGGTTCGACGTGTTGCATGATTGGTTGGTTGGTATTTGTGAACATCTTTTGGTTTATTTGAATGTTCTTGGAATATGATGCAATCACGGGAACTGCCTTTATCCTCTTAGGGGTGAGAATGTTCTGCTTGGTCTTTATGGAACATTCCTGGGAGATCTGAACAATGCATGGTGAATGAATGGTGGCTTCTTCCCTGACACCGTTGCACGTTATTGAAATCCTGGATGTATTGGTTGGAATCACCATCCACGCGTTTCCCATATACAATTCCTTCCAAATGTTCTCGTGTATAGGTCTTCTGAATATTTTACATTTGGTGGGGTTTTCTCGTTGGTATATTTCATCTATGAGACAATTGGGAGTTGTTTCCATTTTCTTCACACTAGCTGGTGAACACACATAACGGTTTATTGATGGCTGAATGGTATTTTTGAATTCTAGTGAGGACAGCTGGAAGTATAACTGGTTGTTGTAGTCTACTGCTAAAATTCCATCGGGAATTTCGGTGCTCCAATAAGTGTTATTTTGTATCCGTAGAGGAATCGAAGTGACCTTCAACACTGAGAAGTCATGTTTTCCTACTAGTAGAAATTGGCTGTAGACGTGAACATATTTGTTGTCAGTATGCAAGAATGTCTTTATTGTAGGGTGGTGGATAATATCTAATGCTGGTTGCAACTTTCTCTGCGCTTCGTGGAGGATGTTGTTTACATGAGCTGCTGACATGAGCTCATGTAAGTTTCCACGGCCAGAGAAAACAGAAATTAATTTGGAGAAACGGTGTTGTGTGTCGGTGGCAATGCTGTTTGCCACCTGAAATGTGCTAATAATATGAATATTTAGCGCATTTATATCTACAGCTCCGTACCAAGTATTCATTCGATTAATGGCTGCAATACCCTGGTTGAGTTTTAATCGGAATTGCTCTAATTGTTTGTTGATT